TTTTTTAACTTAATTTAATTTAGTAATTATTTTCAAATATCTATTTTTTTAAATCATTTTAAAATTACTTTTAGTACTTTAAACTTCATAAGTTCATCATAATTTCATTTGAAATCGGATTTTTGCGTATAATACCTCTAATTTTTAGAAAATTATGAATTTTAATTTAAAATTATTTTCAGAAGATAAAAATTATTTTTTTGATTTATTTCTGCATTATTTAACAACTTTTATTATTTAACAAATATTTTATAACTTCTCACTTTAAAAGAAAAATCATTATATAATTATTATTCATTTTTAAAATAAAATTTCTATTAATAAAATTTACTCTCATTTTCTATAAATCCTTAGCTCATAAATTCATTATTCTTTTAAATACAATTTATTATATCAACATAAATTTAATTTATCCTATTTAATTTAAAATCTCATATATAGAAATTTAAATGTGCTCTGTTTATTAATTATTATTCATTTTTAAAATAAAATTTCTATTAATAAAATTTACTCTCATTTTCTATAAATCCTTAGCTCATAAATTCATTATTCTTTTAAATACAATTTATTATATCAACATAAATTTAATTTATCCTATTTAATTTAAAATCTCATATATAGAAATTTAAATGTGCTCTGTTTATATGTATATAAATATATCTATCCTCAAACTTATTTGTTTGTTCATTGTATTAGTCAATTTACAGACTTATTTCCAGGTATGCCTACTCCACGCTAGTTAATTGTCCATTCGCTTGTTTGTCTTGACGAGGCAGTTTAATCTTGAGCTGATTACAAACATCATACCATTTGAACGAAGCAAATAAAGTGAGGAAAGGAATCTAATCATAGATTTTAATAATTTATCAATTTTAAATCCTTATTTTGCAGAGACATGTAATTTTACCCGAGTTATCCTAGGTTGAATGTCTCACAATGATAATCTTCTAATCTTCCAAATCATTAAAAATAGTGTGCAGCCTAGTTAACTATGTTTTCTAATGGAAGAATTTTAAAAAGTAATCTTTGTTGGATCCTTGACTCCTAGAAATTATGGCAAATTTTCTATACTTAATAAGTGCAAAAAATTATTCTTGTGAAGTTTTGCCATCTATTTGTGCTGTCATACATGACTCTGAGAGAGCTCAATTTGAAATGCATGGCCATCTTGGCATTTTTATTAGATGGGAGGACCCAATACGAAAATCTATGGGTCAATTCTTTGGGAGTTTTGAATTTCATGCTCGTTACGGTCCAGTATTTGTAGCATCATTGGTATTTTAAATTTCATATTTGTGTATTATCTTTAGATGGATTTTAACCTGAAAGGCATGTCGCTCAATCTCACAGCAGTTAGCTTTTTTCTGGATTATACTTTGCAGACAGACCAGAGGCTAGAATCACTAAAAGGGAAACTTGCTTTTATCACACCGATGCTGGAGAATCTAAGGTCGAAGAAGGATGAAAGAGTAAAAAAAATTGCTGAAATAAGATCAGAGATTGAAAAGATTTTTGGAGAGATTAATGGACAAAATTTTCAAACTAATGTTGGTAAAGTCGACGATGATGATTTGTCAATAAGGAAGCTAAATGATTATCAAGCTCAGCTTCGCTCTCTTCAAAAGGAAAAGGTATCCATTTGGAGTTTTTTTATTCACTATCATTTAAAATCTTAGTCCATTTTGATGGATCTAACATGCATGAATCATGATGGCATGTGTTTTAAACTTCTTATGAGAAACATGCAATTGAATCGAGTGAAATTTTTTGAGAGATTTAGGGCTTTTCTTTTTCATTGCTAAGCGATGGTTTGCTCAGGTTTTGAAAAGGCATGTGAGAGTCATTTTATTGTACTTCATAATTGTGGTTTTTTTTGCTAGTGGATCATATTTTCTCTCCTCTTTAGTGGATATAAGCTTACTAAAACTAACCATATAAAATTTAGTGGTTTTTTTTTGTGGTGGTTGAATTTTCTTACACTTATTTTTTGGTTCATTGTACTTGTTGATGGGGTCTGATGTTAGATCTTTTGGAATGACCAAAAGACACTTGAACGGTTTTTTCTAAGAGGCTTAGGAAAGTAGTGTAGGGTATGGGGAGGCTAGATTTTAAGTGGAGTTAATGATATGATAAGGAGAGTAGTCAACCATCACAAACCAGAACCTAGGCAAAAAATAGGTTGATTGAATTTCCAATTACTTGTGCAACCAACCTACGCAACCTCTACCCTTGAAGCCACTTGAAAATAAAAGAGGGATGTATCTACTTTTGATATAGAGAATTTCATAAAATTCAAAGGGATTTTGACATTTTCTTAGAATCATTAGAAGTTGGGGTCAGTGGAAAGCATAATCTTTCTTGCAGCACAAATCAAAGCTCAAGACTTCGAATACTTGGTTTAATGGAAGGGAAAAATCTTGGGAACTCTCAGAAGTTGAAATATAATATATCTAAGTTAATTTTGGAGGGTTTTTTTTTTGGGAGTTTTCAAGAATTTTAGAAGAATTTAAGAACACCAAACCTAATTGAAACTAGACTAGATCTAGTCTTGCACCCTTTTTGCCAAATGCTCCCATTTGAATTTCCTGGACAATAGTTGGGAAATTTGTGAAGGATTTAATTTTCTAGGGTTTTTGGGAGGAGGAAAAACACTTCTACATAAAAAATCACATAAACACAAGATACAAATTTAAAACCACTCCCCAAAGTTATTTTGGCAAAAAGAAATTACCTAGTTCCTTTTAGGTTGGTAATATGCTAGAGGGGGCCCACCTTGTGGGTCTTAGGGGAGCTACTATTCATTATGTAAGGAGGAGGAATCAAGTGGAAGCTGTTTAGGAAACTTTCTAATTAAGGAAAAATTATTTAGGAAGGTTCCTAATCAAAGGGGGAGTTATTTAGAAAAGTTTCTTAATTGTGTTATGCTATTTCGGAAGTGTTTAATTGTTTAGGAAGATTTCCTAAAATATGTTTAATTATTTAGGAAGGTTCCCTAAATTATGTTTAATTACTTAGGAAGGTTTCCTAAAATATGTTTAATTGTTTAGGAATATTCTATTTGTGTTATTGTGGCTATGGCTATTTAAGGGGGAGTTTTGATTAAAGTTAGGTATCATGATATTGCTGAGTTTATTTTCCTAGTATTTGTTGTGAGTTCCTGATGGCGACTAGGGTTTGTGGGAGAATTCATCTACCTCTCGAATAGTAGTAGATCAATGGTATATTGCTTTATTTTTTAAGGAGAAATCAGAAAAAAAAAACCATTATCTTTGTGTTTCTATGCTTTTCTTCTTTTTTATTTGTTGTTTTTTTTTTTACTTCCAAGGCGCATCAGTTGGTCGACCACCAAGCCCTAACCGGTGGATTTCTTCAACTCAAAACTAGTGGTAAAATGTCTCTAAAATTTCATTTCACAGAGAAAAAGTTCCATTTATTGTTTTACAATTAGTTGCTAAAGGAATTCAAACTTAAAGAAAAGAGGCGAATATATAAAGGTGGGCCATCCTCTCCAAATAAACACCATATCTACCTTGTTATGGCCGGCCACTCCACGCCACTCCACTCATATAGGTAATTGCTTTTATTTATTTGATTGTGTGAATTGCTATTCCTTCAACACTAAAACTAAAAAAAAAAACAGATTAATAGCCTATCTTCACTTGACTATTTATATTGGTCCTTCTCTATGAAAGCTCTCCTAGCTTTGGATCTTGTTAATGAGCTTCCAAGCTCTTCATTATCACCATGTGCTACACCACTTGCTTTTTAGTTGATGCTTTTGTAGCATAAGGTTAGAAGTACTCTTTTCTTAACAATTGGTATTAGAGCGAATGATTATGAGGAATACGACAACCATGAAGTTCAAAATAAAAAATTTTGATAGTTCAAATAGTTTTAGCCCTTTGAGAATCAAAAGTGGCTTTCTAATCTGATATATACTCGTGATGACACATATGTGAGTACTAAAATTCTTGAAATCATCTGTGAAGAAGTAAAGACAGAAATCGATGAGAATGTTCTTTCAAAGATTTAATTTTGTTTGATGGATGGAGTCTTGTTACTAGGGGACACAATTGTACAATGTTTGTGGCTCGATTTGGAGTCTATATATGTGGCTAATAGTCTCTTAAACAAAATTTAGACGTAGAGACTCTACTTACTTCCCATTTATTATGATGCACTTATTAAATCATGTATGAATGATTTTAATGCCATCATTTAAGATTTGAGAAGTATTGATGTGATTTTTCATGATGAAGATCAAGCTTCTTGCTGATTTTGTGTGCTTTTTCAATGATTTGAGAAGTATTTTTGAAGACTACTTACTGTAAGAAGAAATGACACATAAAAGATATATTGTTATGCTTTGAAGAGGAAATAACATGCAAATGACATTCATAAGAAGAAGTTAGCATATTCAAGTGTAGTTGCAGTTTGGCTTGATTTTAATATTAACAATTCTCTTTGTACTGATCGAGATAGGTGCAAAGAGAATTAGATTATGGACTTGCTCTTTTGGTGATTGGTGGTGATAGGTGTAAAGAGCAGTTAATTATGGATTTAGCGTGTTCAAATCTCATATTTTTTATTGGAAAGGTTTGCCATGTATGAGCCAGGTGTTAGTGGTTGCTTTTACATGGGTATAAAATTATGAACACATGGCAATGATTGTTTTGTCGGCTAGAGTCAAATAGGTATCAAATTTGAGAAATAATATAATATCCTTATGTACTCTCAATATTGCAAGACATGCTCTTTGGTGATGCTAATTGCGTTAAATGTTACTTTAGTTGTTCTAAAGTGGTTGTTTTTACATGGGAAATGGAGCTGTGTGCATGATTAGAGGTTTTCACACTATAAAATAGAGGACACATGATAATGATTGTTTTGTCTGCTGGAGTCAAATGGGTATCGAATTTGAGAAATAATCTAATATCTTTATATGCTCTAAATGTTGCAAGATATGTACTCTTTGGTGATGACATTGCTCGTAAGATCTGCAAGGGTGTTTAAGTTGTTTTGAAGGAAAATAGATTTAGTGGATTCTATAAAATGTAGAGTATACCATCTCGTGTTTTCCTTAATTTATTCTTCCTAGTTTTGGTGCACATTTTTCTTAATTTTCTTATTTTTTTCACATTCAACTTAAATATCAATGCCTTTTTTATCACAGCATTTGGAGTTATAAAACATTGACAACCTAATTGTGGTTTTATAACAACGTGTTTTTTATTGTTTATGGATTTACATATAAAAAGCATTTAAAGTGGCAAGTTTTGGTGCAGACGATTTATGTAGTTCATATAGATTTATTGATAAAATCTCCTTCAAATAAGTAAAATATTAAAATATGTTTTTGAAGATAAAGGCTTATGAGGAATAGAACAAAGACCAAGTATATGCCGCTCAATTTTATTGAATGTGAAATTGATAATTATTTGTCAAAATTATTTTTTTTTTTTGGAAATTTAATGGGTGCTTATGTGTGTTACAAGTATCTTGAATTTATTAAAAAAAGAATGAGAATATATATGACAACTCAACCTCAACTTATTGAGCAAAATTTGATGGCTAAAATGAAAAATTGTTAGAAATACCATGCAATATAGGATTATTGTGGAGACTGTAGAGGCCAAGTTAGAAATTGCAATTAAATAGCCAATGTTTTGTGAATATAAGCGTTAGGAAACAATGCAGTCCTTGATAAGTCTAGTTGAATGACGAACATGAGAAATTTAAGATGGGTTTAGATTGTAAAATTAGGAATGATGGAGTGAGAATAGGCCTATGTGTTTTGGTCATTTATAAAGAAGGAAAAAGATGCTCCAATAAGGTAAACAGATAGATTAATTTGGATTAGGAAGGGAAATGTTTTTTAAAGGATTCATGTCATGTCTCAAAGTGATGCATTCCTCTTTAGATATCTTGGTTCTATTGTTCAGAGTGATGGTGAAATAGATGGGGATATTATAAGCATAATTCAAGTTGGATGGTTAAAGTGGAGGAATGCATCGGGCTTACTGTGCGATAGAAAAGCCCCCCTCAAACTTAAGGGAAAATTCTATAAGATGGTGGTGAGACCTGCAATGATTTATGGTGTCGAATGTTGGCCATTAAAAGAGAAGCATATTACTAAATTAAGTGTTGCAGACTTGCAGAGATGAGGATGCTTAGGTGGATGAGTGGCTTGACCCTTAGAGATAGGATACGAAATGAACATATGCATGAAAAGGCTGGAGTAGCTCCAATGGAAGATAAGATTAGAGAGAGCCGCCTTAAATGATTTGATCACATTAAACGGAGGCTTTTCGATGACTCGGTTAGGAAAGTTGATGTATTAGATTCGACTTATGTTAAGAAATGTAGAAGTAGACCTAAAAAGACTTGGTTAGAAAATATTAGAAATGATCTTTCTTTATTAGATTTAAATGAGAATTTAACTTTTAACTGGACACAATGGTGAAAAATGATTCATGTAGCCGACCCCACATAGTGGGACAAAGGCTTGATGATGTTGTTGTTGTTGTAGGAAGGGAAATTGTTGATTAAAAGCAACATATCTTGAAGATGTGCAAATGGAGTTAAAATATCATGTAGCATTCACTAAGGAAAGGAGTATCCCTAAAACCGAGCTAAAATATTTGTGTTGGATAATGATAATGTTGGCATGTGCCATACAACAAATAATTGTACATTCTTCCGGTACCACATGTCCAAGTTAGGTGGAATATTGGGAGCTTCTCTTAAAATATTCAATGATGATGATATTGAAGGCCAAATACAAACCTCTAAAGCTAATCCTATTAGTTGAAGCTTGAATGCTTGATGTTGTAGTAAGTGATCATTTGCTTATATTTTTGTGGTTGTACTAGATATTTTGTACTAAATATTTTATATTATAAACTAGACAAATTATCATGTCATTCATTTATTATTGTTTGTCATTTCTAATATGATATTACATTAATATATATACACTATATAAAAAAATGTATTGCCGTGTCCGCGCCGTACCCGTGTCCTATATTTTCCAAAAAAAGCCGTGTCCCGTGTCCGTGTCGTGTCGTGTCCATGTCGCCGTGTCCGTGCATCATAGGTCTTCACCTTCTATCTCGAGTATATGTAGAAACAATTGCAAACGTCCCAAATTATCATTGGATTTTGCAGGGTTTGTAAATTGAATATTTTGGCTATGCTAAGCGTGAATATTGTATCAAGAATCTGAAAAGATCTCTCTGCTTCTTAGTCAAAGTTGGACCAGACCGGAGTATTTTATCGATTCTCACATTTTATTTTTTGTTGTTGAAAACAGGACTAATTGTAATCACTTAATGGATGTAATAATGCAAATTTTCAGATGGCGGCTTAAAAGATTTTAATTTCATTGACTGGCATATTTTTGGATGAGGCCAATTCACTTCTTAAGTGTCAATTTGCATTTTAGAAGTATAGTACATTCTAACTCTGCTTTTTTTTATTATTCCAGTCCGAACGTCTTCACAAGGTTCTTGAATATGTAAATGAAGTGCATGCATTATGTTGTGTGCTTGGCAATGATTTTGGCAAGACATTGAATGGGATTCATCCAAGCTTGCATGAGCCTGGTTTAGGGCAATCTACAAATATTAGTGATAGCACATTGGAAGGGCTGTCTCAAATGATCCAGAAATTAAAATTAGAGAAGAGGAAACGAACTCAAACGGTAATATTAAAAGCTCTGCTTTCTTTTCTTGCTAAATACAATTGTAACTCTTATAAGTCCATAATTCCAGTTGCGGCAAGTCTTTGAATCCTTAATTGAACTATGGAACCTGATGGATACACCGGAAGAAGAGCGCAAGCATTTTGAAAAGAATTCATGTATTCTGAGGTCACAAGAGGAGGATGTAACAAACTCTGGTATTCTATCAATCGAATCTGTCAAGGAGGTTTGTGCACAACAACTTACAGTTTTCTTGAAACATTTTGGGTTATAACTTATAAGCATCTTGGAAAGACATCATCCTTTCTCATGTTTCACAGATTGAGGCTGAAGTTGACCGGTTAACAGAGTTCAAAGCCAGCAAAATGAAAGAACTTGTTTTGAAGAAAAGATTAGAACTGGAGGAAGTGTGTCGCCAAGCACATATTGAACCTGATATGAGTACCGCATCAGAAAAATTGTGTGCATTGATTGATTCTGGTGTGCATCTTATTTTCCATTTTTCGTAAAAGGTTTATTCTTATCTGAATCTAACCAGTTAACACTTTTTTCTGTGATTAGGTCTTGTGGATCCTTCTGAACTCTTGACTAGTATCGAAGGTCAAATTACAAAAGCAATGGAGGAATCCGATATCAGGAAGGATATCTTGGACAGAGTAAACAAATGGGAAGCTGCTTGTGCGGAAGAAAGGTGGCTTGAGGAGTATAACCAAGTAAGATGGTCTTCCCTCTTGATGCTAAATTGATATGATGGGACATCGGAAGTCCTGTTGAGGTTCTTTCAATTTTGAGGAATTATGCTTAAGTTCCTGATCTTTGGCCATTCCATTTTGGTTAAAATGCCTGATGTACAGACCATTTCTCTAGGGTGAGAGTTGTAATTTCAAATTTCTGCACATTTAGAAGAGTTATTTGGTCAAAGCAATTGAAATGAAAAACTTCGACATGCATGGTGCCACATTTTAGGAACACAAGTTTAGTTCTTGAACAATATGATTATATCTTTAAATTGCGGGGAACTTAATATCCTGCTTAGTGTTTATAATAAATTTTATTTGCCATGCATTTACAGATTCTAGTTAGTAAGAGCTTATACTTTTTTTTTATGAATCCTGGTTTTCTTTGTCATATGGATCTTAGCAGTAATGGCTTTGCTTGTTTGAGCTGATCTTACCATATGTTTGTAAAAGGTCAATTCCTTGAAGTTCATCAATTGAATATTTGGTGCAATCTTTTCACTGTTCAGGAAGTTCAAAGGATGACTTTCATTCTGCTTCTTAAAGTAGATTCTTAATAAAAAAATTTTAATTTTTCTATTAGAAAACTACTTTAAGAAACAATAATAAAGCCGTCTCAAACAAAACCTCAATCTCATGAAAGTCAGTAATTCTATCCAAATAATTTTCATTAGAATTTTGTTTAAACTATACCAAACCCGGCAGGCGCTTTCATTATTTGTTTTTTCAGGTTTATTCTTGTTCAAGAATATACTGACACCTTCTAGGATACAGGATGAGAACAGGTACAGCGCGGGAAGAGGCGCCCACTTGAACCTGAAACATGCAGAGAAAGCTCGGTTGACATCACTCAAAATTCCAGGTTTTTAAGGCCTACACATCCTAGTTTCATACCTTCACGTAATCTGCAAATACTAAATTTCTTCGCTGTTCCAGGCATTGTTGACAATTTGATAAGCAAAACATTTTCCTGGGAATGTGAAAGGAACATGCTTTTCTTTTATGATGGGGTCAGTTTGATTTACTTCTCCTATAACTTCCGTAGTTATGCATGCATTTTTATCTCATATTCTATTTGAATTTTTGGAACTACTTCGTCATTCCTAGGCCCATCCGGCTTGGGCTTGTCTGGAATTACTCCAGAAATTTTAACTTTCTGAATTATTACATTCCAATTTTGCAGGTTCGTTTGGTCTCTCTTTTGGAAGAGTATAAGCTTTCTAGACAACAAAAGGAAGAGGAGAAAAAGCGTTTTCATGTAACTATACCATTCAGAATAATGCTTCGTAATCTCTACACACTCATAACAATATAAGCATTTAAGTTTCTTATTGCAGGATCAAAAGAAGCTGCAATATTTACTTCTCACTGAGAAAGAAGCACTTTATGGATCAAAATCCAGCCCAAAGAAGAGCAACAGTTTCAAGAGGCCAACAAATGGATGTCATACGAATGGTTTCATGACACCTGCACCTCGAAGGGTTTCTGTAGGCAGTGCAACACCTGAACTTCTCACTCCTCGCTCATATTCCAGTCGTCAAAATGGTTACTTCAAGGAAATGCGACGATTATCTACAGCCCCTCTCAACTTTGTTGCTATACAAAAAGAGGATACAATATCTTCTTTCACATCATCCTCCATCAGTTGCTTGGAACCTGGGTCTCCCCCGCGGGGTTAAATAGTATGATCTCCTTATAATCTCCATCTGCTATGCTGCTAAACTTTGGCTTCGTTTGGGACGGCTTTCTGAAGCAGATTTTCAGTATAAAAATTAAAAATTTTATACTAAAAAGTTCATTTAAGAAGTAGTAAGAAAACCGTCCCAAACGAAGCATGTATGTGCTCTCTTTACTTCTAAGACGTAGCGCCTGATTGAGATTCAATATTGCAGGAGGAGAAGAATTTAACAGATGAAAGAACCAAACAAGGTATGATTATGGCTCTAACTGTGCTGAATCGTTTAACATTTAGGAAAATGTTTTATTGTGAAGATTAACTGCATGAGTGGATTTAGGAATTTGTGATGATTGACCTCTTTAAGTTAAATGTAACTGTATCCCAAGAGAGTGTTAACTTTAGCAGAAACCCTGTATCTTACCTTTATGAAGTTTTAATGTATATATATATAATCCTTGTGCCACTCATATGTAATCTCCTAAGCTATTTAAGCTCATTGTTTCATATTTCTTTGTCAGAATTTGGAAATGTTGATTTGCTTCCTTTGAATTCTGTACTACTTGATTAACAACAATGTCATATATTAGCTCTATGTAGGATTGAAATGTGTGAGGAAGTTCAATTACCATCTTCAATGATATATATAATAAAAAAAAGAATAGATTAATAAATATGTTGTAAATATTCTTTTAAGAAACTCCAACGGCCTCATTCAAGTCATCAACAAAAAGTATAGTTGCATAAAGTATTGCTTTTGTTCAGTAAATCGCAGTTTTTCTGCGCAATGACTTGTGTTTCTTCTTTTTGTTATTTTTGATTGAACCAGTAAGCCCAAATCTTAAAGAGTTTTAAAGGAAATTCTCTCAGCGTCTCAGGCTTTATTTCTTGTGCTTTTTGTTATCTGAAATGAAATTAAATAAGAAATTGACAATCATTCATTTTGGGCACAAATTTTTTAATATATATTTGAATAGAAAAGTTTTACAATTAAATTTAGAATCATCCAAACTTTGATTTAAATTAATTTATAACTGAATTGAACATTTAGATGAGATGAATTTGATGATATAATCTAAGTCTAAATAAGCTTGTAGATCAAACAATTGAAGCATAACAAAACATTTTAGATAAAGTTTGAATGCTTATAGTTAAATTAAGACAAATTTAATGAATCTAAAATTATTTAATTTTGATAATATTAAGATACTTTAATGGTGAACAAAATATTTTATGATTAAGTGAATTAATATAGTGCATCTAATGGAGTGTTTTGATTTTCTTTATATTTATATGGCATTGTACTCTCAAAATTTATAAATAAATCTTTACTCTCTTACCGAGGAGATATTGATAGTGTGGACTTGGGCTTGCTTAGAGCTTATAAAAATCTATGAGCTTCACTCGAACGCCATTCTTGGATTGCCGCATGGTCGGCACTATCAAGCCATTGCTCAACCGATGCCATTGATACAATGCCCTTATTGTCATTGGATGATTGTCTGATTGCTTTCATTGGAACACCACTCTACCAGCATCATCATACTATCATTGTCAACTACGAACCTCCATCCATTGTCGCCCAACTAAAATTCTCAAACCTTCATCGCTCAATTACGATCTTCCAACCACCGACCACTGTTGTTTTACTATGTGTGAAACCCCTTTTATGAAGTTGTACCCTTAAAAATTGAGGTATCTTTTGGTGAATAATTATAATTTTATTAGAAATTCAAAGTTAAGCTATGCTCGCATAAGAGCACTCCTAAGATGATAACCTCCTGGCGAAATAATAACTTATAAATCTTCGTCGAAATAATGATCTGAGTTTATTGTTAGAAAATCTTTGAGCCATCCTTTATAATTTAATAAAGGAAGGCAAGTAATCATTTATAAATTAATATAGATACGATTCATGCAAATTAAGCAAAGTATGTGTAAGATTTCGCATGCCAAAAATAATACTATGACTGAAGTATGATTTTCAGTAAGTTCATACACATGGACGTGATGAAACTCTTGGACACGTACGTCTGAGCTTTAGTATAAATAAAATCCCTACATTATTTTTTGTTGAGGCATTTCATCGAGCAGCTAGCATGCGATAGTTAAGTAATGAGTGTGAGAAAGGCTAAGTGCCTCGGAGACAGAGGAGGAAGAACATAGGCAAGAACCGGGAAGAAGAAGAACTGAACAGAGAAATCTTATTGTCTATCAAAGAGGTCTTTACAAATACATTTATAGAATTTAACCAATGGTAAAACAGTAATATTAAACATAATACTGGGTAACTAACTAGTGTGCTAACAGCCTCCCTCAAATTAAGCATTCAAGGATTGAATGGTTAATTTGTTTCTCAGCTCATGGAACCGTGAGACCGAAAGAGGCTTAGTTAGGATGTCAGCAACCTGATCTTGAGAGGGAATGTACTGAATCTGAACATTGCTGGCTGCTATGTGTTGTCTGATGAATTGATAATCAATTTCAATGTGCTTCGTCCGCGCATGGAACACGGGATTTTTAGCAATGGCAATAGCTGAAATATTGTCGCAATGAACTTGCTGTATTTGAAGCTCCTCAGCTAGCCGCCGTAACCATATAACCTCCGAGATGTTCGTTGAAAGAGAACGATGTTCTGCTTCCGTGGAGGATTTGGCGATGGTGACTTGCTTCTTGACGGTCCACGAGATCAGATTGTGTCCCAAGAATGTGCAGAAACCGGACACAGATTTCCGATCGGTGCTATCTTACGCCCAGTCCGCATCGGAGTAGGACTGCAGCTGAAGATCACCGGTGACAATAGGTAGACTGAAATTAATGGTTCCTTTGATGTAGCGCAGAATGCGTTTAATGTCTTGGAAGTTTTGAACAGTAGGAGATTGCATATGCTGACAGGCTCTATTGGTTGCGAAGGCGATGTCTGGCTGCGTGATTGATAAATATTGTAGCGATCCGGCTAGACGACGGTACAAGGAGGGATCTTGAAACGGCTGATCGGTGCTTGGTTTTGATTTGGATGTTGGAGCTAGCGGGGTGGGAGAGCTTATGCAGTCCGTCATCCCAGCAGTGTTGAGCAGAGTTGCTGCATAATGGGCTTGAGTTAAGAAAAGACCTTGAGGTGTATGTTGAACCTGTATGCCGAGGAAAAGGTTGATTTGGCCGAGCTGTTTGAGTGCGAACGTCGAGTGTAGATCGTGGAGAAGAGATTGAATTGCATTATGATCATTATCTGTGAGAATAATGTCATCGACATATAAGAAAATAAATTTGTACACCATTGTGAATAAAAAGAAGCAGGGAGTGGTCGGAGCGGCTAAACCGAAATCCACGCGATAGTAGAAAATCTGCGAGCGGAGGAGTTGACGTCGGGCGGAGATGCAGACGCACCAGAGAGATGTCCGGCGTACCCCGTTGCCGTTCGCCAAATTGCATAATTAATTGAGGTGAGAGGACGAGGGATTAGAATATTGATGTGGGAGATGAGGAACTTTAGTGTTGTCGGGATGGAGATTTCAGCATCGGTTGTTGTTCCGGCGAGAGAAGAGGAGGGAGGGAGGGAAGAAACTGAATCTTGATCCCCCATAAGAGACTCTTGATACCTTGTGAGAAAGGCTAAGTGCCTCGGAGACAGAGGAGGAAGAACACAGGCAAGAACCGGGAAGAAGAAGAAATGAACAGAGAAATCTTATTGTCTATCAAAGAGGTCTTTACAAATACATTTATAGAATTTAACCAATGGTAAAACAGTAATATTAAACATAATACTGGTTAACTAACTAGTGTGCTAACAATGAGGGGTATAAGACCAATTAATGATTTGAACTCTATTTTTTTTAGATTTCAGGCTGCTATTTTTTGTTTTTTAATTTTTTGGATGTAGTAAGATGCTAAACCCATTTGATGAGAAAAACAAGAGAGATAAAAGGAGAGAGATATTTAAATTTATAATATATATATATATAATCAACTTAAAAAACTTGGTGCGTACTAAATAAATTCAGATTAGGATGTAGATAGGAATGTAAGTGAGCTGAGCTGGCTCAAATTCGATTTGCTAACGACCTCACTAGTCAAGTTTATCGAGTCTCGTGCTCAAAATCTAGCTTATACGTTAAATGAGCCCGAATTCAAGTTTTATTAGACTCAGTTCATTGACTCGTGAGCTTGTTTGACTAAGAAAATATACAGGGATAAAAAATAATCTTATTTATTAATTTATATCACTTATAAGTAAATTCACTTTTTTAGTAGATTCACTGTACTGCATTTAATATAATTAATGCATTGTTGTTGCACTTCTCCCCAAAGAATAAAACTGTTTTTTTTTTTTCTTTAGTGCTTCTTCTCCAACCAGTTGATGAACTACGAGCAGAGCTTCTTTCTCCTGCAATGATTTCGTTATTTTGTCTGTTGTGCTTCCCAGTGGGAGCTTTTATTCTGTGCGGGCATCGGACGGTTCGGTTAAGTGCTCGTACCGGGCGGTATCAAGAGCGGGTATCGAGCTCGGTATCGAGCGCGGCACATTTTTGGAGTGACGTAGCGCATTTTTATTGGCCTTTGGATGCCATCCAGACTCCGTATAGAATAATAAATCCCCAAGTGGACTCCCATGTGCTCAAATCGAGCACTCAAACCGAGGAGTTAAAGGTCGAGCCAAACTTGAGCTCATTTTCTAGTCTTGAATTGAGCTTGAGCTCAAGTTCAAACCGGTTTTCTAACTGACAAGCCGAGCTCGATAATGTCATTTGTCATTACTAGACTAGACTTAAGTCTTTTACACCTCTAGTTGTGGATTTGCTCATTTGAATAATCTTGATTATTCAAACTCTTTAGTGTTGTCTATTTGGTTGGACGAAACCCTAAACCCTAAACATAATGATATAATTCAATTGTGAATACGAAGGCGAATTAGAATAAGTATGAGTGATCACTCAAACTATTATAAGACCCAATCACACAAATGACTTATGAATCAGACTCAATCAATGACAACTAATACTTGATTAATCTGAGCTTGGTATATGGATCATATATGCTACAAATAAAAATGACCCTCAAAGATTTTTTATTTATTTATTTTAAAAAATAAGAACATAATATAATAAGCGCATTAATATTGATAATTTCATACATTATAAGTAATAAAAATAGTTTTTATTTTAAAAATATGAACATGCAAAAATGTGAATGGTAAGATGCGTTTGTAAAATTAAGAAGAATCAATCAATGAATGATTATAGGAACCTATATTGAAATGAAGAAAATTAATTTCTTACGTTACAAGTACTAAAAATATTTTTTATTTTAAAAGTAGGAACATGCAAAAATGTGAACGATAAGATGCAGTTGTAAAACTAAGAAGAATCAATCAATGAATGATTATATCACATGAAGAATCACAGGAACCTATATTGAAATCAGGAAAATTAAAATTAAATTTAAGTGACTATATATTTATAACAAATGATAAAAAATATATAAATTTGATGAGTATACAATATTGTAAAAATGAATAAATAAAAGGTGATATATATGAATAAAAAATTAAAATGATATGTTGCATATGCCTAACATCTCAATATAAATAACTACAAAAACATATTGTAAAAAACTAATTATGAGAAATTTAAGGATAATAAGAAGATATTTTCAAGGAAAAAAACTTGGTGATTCACCTTCCTAGAATTGCTCCCATGTAAAAATCACACGTGTCCAATTCATATTGTTAGATTCGAGTCCATTCTCTCTAATTATGCCACCTATCCTAAAACTATGTCACCCAAAAACTCATCCTCTCCTTCACTAATCCAATCAAGGAAGGATAATAGATATAGAAAGAAAGAGGGGAAGAGTATTACTTGTCTTCTTTTTATTTTTCTTCTAGCTCAAACAAAAGATGGAGAGACTGACGAGTGCAGAGATAGCACACCTCAAGGAGGTTTTCAACCTCTTCGATAAGAATGGCGATGGTACATGCAATAACCCACCTTGACATATGTTTCGCTCTCCTTATCTTATTCTAAGTGATTACTTCAAGACATTTTTGAGTCTAGAGTTTTATATCTAAAATAACGAGGTTTTTGTTAATTGTTGATCTATGCAAGGATCCTTAATGGTTATGCTATTGTGCTTAATATATATGACAATTATTTCTTGTCTTACATTGGATTGTTACGGCATACTTTGCTACATTTATTAATCTTGTTTTAACATTTTTGATGAATGCTCTAATGAATTAGGGCAAGGAGTTGATTTTAATTAGATTATAGGGAGTATATGTACATGCGAATGAAAGGCCACTACTTTTTCTTACTATGGTTTTAGGTTTTATTGCATTTGTAAGGTTTGCCACTATATTTTTTTTTCTCTTGGTGGATTCTGTCAATTGTCTAATATAGATGGAGGTTTTGATTCTTCAAATGATGATTTCAGATGTATGTTATAACCTGATTTCTTTTGAATTGTAATAAGATAAGGGTACGTTCAATTTCTCTCAAGTCCTTATGGCTTTAGTGGAAGCCTGAATTTATTCAAGAGGACTCATGTTCATTCTTACATTTACTTTCTTTTGTGTTCTAAACAAATTTAGAGCTTTTTGGTGTAAGGTGGGAGCTAGCGATTTAAGAGCATGTTACCTATATCTCCAAATATGCTCATAATGCCTTGAGGTGCACTCGCCAAGGGTTTATGATCATTTGTTACTTAGCTGGCAACACTCGTCACTCATCACTCGATCGGCATACTACACTTGTCACTAAAAATAATAAATTAAAAAAAAAATGAAGAAAATAAAGATATGGTTAAGATAATAAATTAATGAGAAAAAATTTTTGTATAATTTTCAAGCCTATCTTGAAATGATTTATATAAGGATATATTTATATATATATATATTGGTTAAGATAATAAATTAATGAGAAAAAATTTTTGTATAATTTTCAAGCCTATCTTGAAATGATTTATATAAGGATATATTTACATATTTTAATATATATATATATATAACTTTTGAGTGTTGAGAGATCCCTTGAAAATTTTAACATATTTTTAACTTGCTTGAAGAGGATTGATTGGGGTGCATTAATGAGTAATTAGATTTCTAATTATCCATTATTCGATCTTTCTATTTGTTAAGATTATATTTTATTTTGCATGTGTATAATGCACACATGCTCACTTAGTCTTAGGTTCTTCTAGATTTAAGGACATGGTGTTGATTGTATGTGTATTTATATGCTTGTCCAAGGTTTAGCAAAATCTTGATTCAATCCTGTATAACCTAGTGACATCATTAAGTATAATAATTAAGGACATATTTAAAAAACTTAGATTAATTTTAATAATTAAGATATAATACCTATTGACATAAGACTTTGAACATTCAACCTTAGTGACATCTCTAGCCGATAAAAAAAATTCCAACAA